GGGAAGGTGTTCTACTTTTAAGATCTGTTTGCTTTTTCTTACATCTCACTACTCCTCTCTGATTTGTTCTCTTAATAAATGTAATTAATTTCCCCAAAATCGAGTCTGTTTTGCCCAGGACAGTAAATGAAAGTGATCTCCCTGTCCTTATCTCAAACCTTGAGCCCTTTGAAATATTTTCTCCCCCGGTATAGTGGAGAAGTGGGGTGAGAGAGCGGCTGTGTGGGCACCTGGCTGCCAGCCAGGGTCAAACCACGACACCAGCTAAGCTCCATGAGTGGGTGTTGAGTTTTACTTACCCCTCTCTGGTCAAAGCCAGTAGGAATCACGTGTCTGGAGCTTCAATTAGGGGAAAAATTATCCATCCTATAACCTTGCACACAGGTTACTCAAGCAGAGGTCAATGTGCATTTACTAGGACTGCACGTAGGCACTGCCATTCTATGATTCTATGATTCTTGGAAGTCCAAGGCTGCTTCTGCATCAAGACTGATTCATTAATGCAAGGTAACACTTTAATAAAAAAGGTTCTGTGTAACTGGCCAGAAACAGGGGAGAGACAGACGGAGGGACCTCACGCTGGTGCCTCGGGCAGGGGAGCAAAGGCTGATGCCTGCTTCCCCTTTCTCCTGGGGCCAAATGGCCACAGACCCAGCTGTCCTGCAGAAGGTCCTTTCTAGGTGCTGATGAAGGCTTTTCGGACCCTCGCGTGAGCAAACAGGGGAGCGTGAGTGCTGTAAGGAGTAGCTCATGAAAAAGAGGTTTTAATTTGGCTGCTCTTCAGAGTAGGGCTTTTTGGTGCATTTACAGCACACTTGGCTAGAAACTTCAGTAAAGGAGAACTGTGTAAAATCAGAGAATCCTAGAATGTCCTTGGTTGGAAGGGACCTCAGAGATCATCTAACCCAACCCCCTGTCATGGGCAGGGACGCCTCTCAACCAGCCCAGGTTGCTCAAGGCTTCATCCAACTTGGCCTTGAACACCTCCAGGGAGGGGGCATCTGCAGCCTCTCTGGGCAATTTATTCCAGAGTCTTGCCACCCTAATACTGAAGAATTCCTTCCTAAGTTCCCGTCTACCCGTTCTCCTTCAGTTTAAATCCATTGCCCCCTTTCCTGTCGCTGGCCCCTCTTGTAAAAGTCCCTCCCCAGCCCCCCTGTAGGTCCCTTCAGGCACGGCAGGCAGGGATAAGGTGCCCCCGGAGTCTTCTCTTCTCCAGCTGAACAACCCCAGCTCCCTCAGCCTGTCCTCGCAGCAGAGCTGCTCCAGCCCCTGGGTCAGCTTTGGGGCCTCCTCTGGACTCGTCCCAACAGATCCACGTCCCTCTTATATTTACAGTCACCGAGATAAACCTAAAGCTCTGTGTGTGTGTGTGTGTATGTGAATAAACCTGTGTGAGATTTCCAGAGACCTTTCCACGTCAGTGAGCATGAAGGAAAAAAGTAAAGAAATAGGGAGGTACCGCTTCACAGCCTGTGTGTGCCCCCTTCGAGTGGCAACCTGCGCAGAGATGAGAGACATAATGAAATGGGATACGCACCTGGTGTGGGACTGTAAAAAGCTTCTCTTCTCTTCCAAGCAAGAGTCAAACAGGCACTTTTTAAACCAACAAACAATAATGGGTTGTACAATGTGCGTGACTTGGTGCTGAGGGACTTGATGTTGAGGCTTTTTTGAAATAGCAGTGAGAGAAGTGGTCATGCAGTGCCTGTTGGCTTGAGCGATGCTCGGCCGTTTATCGGTTTCTGGAACACGGAAATCTGTTGCCTGCTGCATTCCCAGTATAAAGCTTCACGCCCTGTGCGCGAGGAAAAGTGGTTGATTTTGTGAGGAAGAGAGGACTTGCTTTTGTTTTGCCTCAGCAAGTTGCTTGCTAGTGCATCTTCTCAAAAAAAAAGGAATGCTTGATGAGGCAGTATCTTGAGACGGTGTTAAAGCACATGTGGCCTAACAAAACGTTGCTCCTGATCTCAGTCATTTACAAATGTTGTTTGTAAGTTATTACATTATTATTCAGTTATTATTGTCACTGATCTCAAACAGGACATGAAGATTGCATTCCCAAGGGCAGCCCGTGAGCCCTGGTAAAAGGGATTGTCACGGTGAGCCGCTGCATTGGTTTGCAAAGCAAAATTGGCGTGAGGAAATGCAAACTTCACGTTTTGCATCCTCCTGGTAGCGCGGCGTTTGCCCTTCAGCCAAGCATCTCTGTTTCGTTTGACCGTATCTCCCCTGTTGCAGATCGGTGGGGATGTGAGCTGTAGGCTCGTGCATCGCGCTCGCAGTTTCAGGGCAGGTGGTTGCAGGTGTAACAAGTTAATATTCCAAATACACCTTTCCCTTTTGTCTTTAAGGCAACAGATGTACCAGCTAGATTTCTGTCACTGCCTGCCCTCAGCTATGCTGTCCCTCTGCAGCTCTACACCCTTGTGAATCAGGATTAGTTTTCCAACAATTGGTTTCCCTCCCAACCTCTGTAGGAAATTTCCAAGCCCCTCTCAGATGGGCAGCACACCCAGGCCCTTCCATCCGCATTGCTGGCTCGGCTCGAGGCCACGGCAGGTCCAGGTGGGATGCAGGGAGCTGAGGATGAGTGAAGAGCCAAAACCCGGTTCAGTCTGATGCTGAAATGGATGCTGGCTGCCCCCCACCCACCTAGAATTTTATCATTTACTGGCTGTAGTTTTCTCAGCTAATTTCAAATGCAATGATAGCTTTCAGCTTTGGTGCTCTCTTGTAATTAAGGTACCAGCGGCTATGGCTAATCTCTGCGTAAAGCCAAAAGCAGCTTACGTGATAATTACAGTGGAAGCCCAGCGCCTGCTGTTCCAGATCCACAAGGAAGTGCTCGCGTGGTGGGTGAGGCGCTGCGATGAGGCTGTACATCTCTCTCATTGCTGTCCCAAACTGTTTTCCTAGTGCCTCGTCATTTTTAGGAAGGACACAAAAGAACTGGAGAAACCAAGCACAACCCTTTGCACACACAGATTTCGTGGACATGATGAACTTTTAAGGTCTTTTTTTTTTTTGTGGGGTTATATTATTGAGTAACTTTACATTTACCCATAGTAATTATGGTGTAGTGGAGTGAAAATTCCTCTTCAACACAGTGAAAGATACTTTGCATCCACTTTTTTTTTCCTTTCCCCAGGAGCAAATGAAAGCAATTCTGACCAAAGCAAGCAGACCGCAAATCCAAGTCTATAGCAGAAGCAGAATGCCTTTGCTCCCAAATCAACAAAACAGCATTTATTTAAGAGCAGCTCCCTTTATTAAATCCTGTCTGTCCTGAATTTTGGATAGCTCATTCCCTGCTGTTTCGGTGTTGCTGTCGGAAGCGGTCTGCCCTGGCTGACACAGTGAGCACAGCTCAGAGCATCAGTACGGCCTTAACGCCGCCATTTGTCTCGCAGGAAGGGTACGGGAGATGCTGAGGGGTACTTGGTCGCAATTAAAGACATTGAGCTAAAAGGAAATGCTGTGGGTAGATGAATGTTTTCATACCATGGTGTCATTTGTGAAAAAAAAAAGAGTGATTAAACTGAGGCCAGTCTCTCTGTAGTACTTTGATGGTTAAGTGAGAAGGGAAAAGAAGTTCTGGAGGTTTGCAAACATCGAGGAACTCAGAACGTGGAACTCCTCCTGTACTTAAAGGTGCAGGCACCTGTAACAGATACCAGCTCTGCTGGAGAGAGGCTTTAGGAAACGCTGGTTAACTTCTTCTCTTCTCCTTCCTTTCAGCACAGGACTGTTGTCCAGCATCTCCCTGCCCCGTGCGCTGTGATTCTGAAAGGTGGCGCTCAACGGTTTCTGAGGTTTATGTCTTTTGTTCTTGGTTTTAGATCGACAAGTATGCTCAGCGGGATCTGAAGAAAGGGCTTCATTTGTATGGGACAGAGGGAAATATTGGCCTAACTAATGCCTGGAGCATCATTCAAACAGATGTAAGTTTAACCTTTTTTTTTTTCCTCCTTCCTCTTTACCGTCGGGATTCTATAGCAGCACGTTCTGAGTGCGAACCTAATTAAACCTCCAGATCCCAAGCCAATCTCTTCCTCCTACCCAGTCAGCACATCAGCAACTAAACTCACTGCTTCTTGTAACAAATGGTGATTTTTCTGTATTTCTCCTTTGACTAGGATAGCTTTTTCTTTTAAAAAATTTATATTGTGTTGATGCGAAAGTACCCTCTAGTTCTGTGCTGTGTGGAGAGTGAAGGAGATGCTCGGGCAGGACACAAGCAGTGCCTTCTCTTCCGAGTCCAGGGGACGGCTTGTGTTGGACTGAAGAGCAGTAGCGCGAGAACAAAGAACCACTTCAGCCCCTTTTCACTTCAGTCCTGTCTCCTTTCATTGCTGATGTTGGTTTCCACTACTACAGCCCAAATGGAACCCAGCCGTGGAGTTTACAACGTCCTCCTTTAGTCAATACGTTTTTCCCAGCAGAATTCAATCGTCCTCCATCACAGATGGGCCTGGAATGCCTCCTGCGCTTTCGCCTCTGCTGTTGGGTCCTTCTGGTTCTCCGCCAGTGTTTGTCTCGTTAGGGCTGGAGAACACTGTAGCTGGCTTCTGCTTTCCTCCTTGTCTGCCCCACTGGGGAAACACCGACACCGGCAGGTGGGCTTTATTGACTCTGTCCTTCTTTTTTCTTATTCAGATATAGAATCATAGAATGTGTTGGGCTGGAAGGGACCTTTAAAGGTCATCTAGTCCAGCCTCCCTGCAGTTCTCTTGGGGATGATCTTTCTGATTCATTTTTTTCTGCTTCTTGAATGAGGAAAAGTGCTCCAGCTTTTCTTCCACAGAAGCACTTCTTCTTCTGAAGAAGCACTTGTACTGTTCCACTCGAAAAATCTTACACCACCTTCTCAAATTCTCCTCAGAGGTGTTAGCCCTCTGCTTCCTCTGTTGCCACTTGGGCTGAACTCCTGAACACCCTTCACCTGGTAGTGTCAACATTCACACACACTCTTCTGTAGGATACAAGACAACGGGAGCAGCAGCCTGCTAAGAAAAGGTCTGAGAATTTCAAAATTTGGGGCCCCTAACAGAACAACAGTGGCCAAACTCCACGTGCATCTCTGGGGCTACCGGAGCTGTGCCGAGGGCCAACAGCTCGGGGCCTTTCCTTGTCCTGCATCTAACAACTGCCTGGGGAGGTGTTTTCAGTTGCCTTCAAATGGTCCCAGCCACTTGCAATATTGTTCATATTTTTCTCTTCCCATATATGATCAAATATGATTACTGACAAGAAGAATGTATTTTGTGGTGCTAGTCCAAGAGTAAGCAGTGGGAAATATAGATAAAATTTTTAATATCATTGCTTATATCAAACAGTATTAGAAATTTTAGTTGTTAGTACTAACTAAACTCTGCTTAGTAAAAATTACTAATACTAAGAAGTTTGCAGTAAATATTAATCTGGTTTCAGGGACACCCCAACAACTGGTAAAAGCAAAGGTGGGGGAAAAGCACTGTCTGCAGAATATGTATCCGCTCCCCTTTCTACGGGTGTAACAATACATTCCATGTTCACCTGGTCACATTTTCTCAAGATGTTCACAAGGTGGATTGGATTCAGGAAACATGTAAAAGGGTAGTGAGAATTTAGGAAATTATGGTGAGAAATTTTAAAAGCTTCGTGTAGGCAGGCAAAGCTGAAGTAGGGATGTGATTGCAGTCCTTAAAAAGAGAGCAGGACGGGAAAATGGTTTTGAAATAAAAGGTCTCTGTAACTGAGCCAAGAGCTTGGGATACAGCTGTGTCAGGTTTGTGGTGGATTCTTTTTCTCTGAGGTCAAGACAGGATTTTCTGTCTGAAAGAAATGGCCTTGTTCAGCGACAAGCCCGGGTCAGAGGCATGACTCAGTAGCCTGTGGTCCGCAGGCGGCAGTCTCAGTGAGCCTGTGGTCCGTGTCCTGCCACAGATTGTCTTAATGGCTCCTTTGGCCTTGAAACTTATTAATAGTTTAAAGAGCGTCTCACGAGTCTCAGGTAATGCTAACGTGAATGTCTTAGGAGCCTGAAAGCTAACAGGAAAGTGCCATCCTGCGAGCCACACGTGGGCGTGTTCCAGCACTCTCTTTTCTAACACAGCAACTAGGAAAGGGCCCTGCGCTCTCCTGACAGTTCCGCTGGGGGAAAGTCCCCGCGCTCCCCGTGCTGGGCACTGAGGAGAAGAGCAAAGAGCTCCCGCAGATCCATTTGTACCGCTCTGCGTAATTGGCTTTCACATGTCTTTGTCAAAACTGTTTAGGAGCGGACTGTTGCAGCGGTGCAGCAAAGGCAATCCCAGCATGGTTAATTATGTAAAACACTTTGCAGCTGAATAGCGCTATGGAAATGCCAAGTAGTATTTTTTGTGTTGGGTAATAATCGTTATCCCTTACATCCCTAATCAGTTGAGTGTAATCACTGATAGGAGGATTAGGGCAATACAGGGGACTTCAGAAAGGGCAGTCCCAGCCCTGGCTTGCTGTTTGCATTCTGGCTCTCACACCCCGCGCGTTAGAGCAAACCACGCTGCCAGGAAGGGCAGCGTCTCAGCACTGACTTTTCTGGTGGGGCCAACAGACCTCAGCCACTGGTTGAGCTACGGGCAGTGTCTGTACGGGGGTGGAAAGCAGCAGCCTCAGAAGAGCGTGGCATGCAAACCCTTGACAGTACCAGCAATCATGATGAGTCCCTCTTCCGTGTCCTCTCTGCATCCACACGGTGTTGGTCAGAGCTCGAGCAGAAGGCTCAGGCGTGAGGGATCTAAGCTCTGCCATAGCCATTCATTTCTCTTACAATCAGCCCAGACAGTGGCTGTTGCCACCTCAAGGTCACTAAGAACGACTGTGTACGCCAACTTTTGCTTAAGGAAGAGGAAATACAAGTTTTGCCAGGAACAGAACTCCATTTAGATGACATTTAATTTCTGATCACAAAGCAGAGGGGAGTTTGGCTGGGTCTGTGGATAACCCGTGACTTCCGAGTGGTGGTCGCTGTATTTCTTCTTCAAGTGCGAAACCCCTGAGCACCTTGCTTGAAGGGGTTTCTTCTCTGAAGCATTTGTGCCTTGAGAAATGGTTTTCCTCTTCGTAACAGAAGCACGCAATTCCCAAGTAAGTGGGAACAAGGGGAAAACAGGGTGCATTGGGCCAGTTTTTAAGGTGGCAGTTGCAGTTCTGGTCGCTGACTGCTGTGCTCAGATTGCCGATAAAGGAGTTGGGCTGAGCTGCGTACGTGTGACGCGTGTTAGAGGGAAAGCACCAGACTCGTTCTGCAGCCGTATTAAACCTCTAGGTCAGGGAGCTGTTTCGAATTAGAACAGTTTATTGATTTCTCTTTCATACCTTCAGCTAACCAAACTGGGAGCCTTTCTCAATAGCCTTCCAAACCTTAAAAGGTTCAGAAACACAAGCTGGTGACTTCTGCGTGTTGTGACTGAAGACTACGAAAGCTTACGAAATGATCTTAAACATGACTAAAATTCTAAGGGTTTAAGACGTAAGTTACCCCGAAGTCCCTTAACACTCCTCACCAGCCAGGACTGGTTGAAGTTACAGGTGGAGATCATTAGAAACAGGCATTAATTTTGAAAACATTGCTTCATCCCCAACATCTTTGTGATCAATATTTGAACACTTCTCCTTTTAACTAACCAGGCAGTAATTCGAGAGGCATGCAGAAGACGCATTAGCTCCACTAAAGTGAGCAAATGCAGCTCACTTTTACTGCTGCGCGATGCCTTTCATGTCTAAATAGACCACTGGAACTGAGAACAAAGTTTGACCCGTCTCCCTTTACCCGAGTTGTTGATTCTGTTAGATCAAACCAGACTTTAGGATTAGTGCTGAAGTAATCCAAATCACCCATTAAACATGATTTTTAGAATTAAACTGTCTTATTCACTGTTTTTTACAGTGATGGAGGAAAAAGGCTCGGAGAAGGCACCCTATGCTGTCCCTAGGTCTCTGTCTGAAAACCTGATATTGCTATGACTTGTCTGCAGCAAGGACTGGGTATCGCTTTAATTTCATGAACCCTGTCCCAGCCTGGCTGATTTTGCAGGAATTTGGCAAAGAAAATGAGAGCTGCTTAGTCTTCAGTACCGGGATTGCCTGTAAAATATGTGCAAGAATCTAACTCCTCCTTAGCGCCAAGACAGAAACTTTGTGTTTAACTTGAATTACCAGCCCTAGATACCTGGTGCTAGAGCACCATTTACTTGTTAACAGAAAAATCAAGCAATTGGCAAGGAGCCCTGCGTTCCAAGCTAACTGCACCGAGACCTTGGTGCTGTTCAATGCTGCTTGGCTGGGAAAAGCCTCCCCAGAGCCCCACCTGCGACTGCGGCGCTGAGGAGCAGCCCCTGCTTGTACTCGAGCCGCTTCAGAACCCTGGGGGTAATCAGTAGGGGCTGACTTTTTAACAGATTACCCCCTTCTTAAAGTGTGTTAGTCTGGATACCCCAAACCAAGCACTATTACTTTCAAATTGTTTCTACAATACATAAGCAACTCTGTCTAATTTTATCCCTTAACTAGCGAAGGGAACAAGGCAGGAGTGCAAATGTGACCACAAAATGAACGTGGTTGTAGCAAGAATCAAGTCTGTGATTCCTTCCTGACAGTCAGGCAGTTTAATGTCCTGGCGTCGGCAGAGCATCAGCCTTTGTGGAAGAACATGAAGTCTGGTGTAAGTGGCTGCAGCAAACTGCTGGTGACAGAAACTTACCTTTCCTGTGCCCTGAGCTTTAGCCATCCGCCGAGCATAGGCCTGTCTCCAGTTACCCTTGGTCAGAAACCTTGTGAATTGTAAAAAGAGAACATTGCTCCCAAATCTAAGAGGACTCCAAAAAAATCCTCTTATTTTGCTCTTTGTCCTCAATATTCCCCTTTCTTCTACCAGTCCCTCATCTCCCTCAACAATTCTGCTTTTATCGCCCAGCCTCATGCATGCAGCACAAATCAGTCACATGCCACGGGATCCAAAATCACTGCCACACTCTCTCTTCCCTACCTGAGCCTCCTTGGCTCTACTGAGCTCTCAGCTTTTCTGTCTTCTTGGCTTCTCTGTCCTGGTGACGCAGTCAGTCCCACCGCAGCTGGTTTCCTTCTGCCGGCCTCTTTGCCCTCTTGCCTCGGGTCAGTCTCTGCTCCCTGGAGATGCCACTCGCCAGACTTGGTCTTCATTGAACGCTGCTCACTCGCTCACTCAGGCACTCTGTGGTGTCAGTCCTCTGCCCTGTTCATCTCCTCCTCCCCTTTAGGATTGTGCATCATCCGCTGCTCAGTTCCATCGCTCATCCTTCCTTCGTCTTCCAAAGACGTGACATCTCTTCCAGGTAGAGTTCCAGACTTCATTCCTTCCAAGCGATCCTCATGCTACTTCCTTCTTCTTTACCCTTGGACTTCTCTTCGCCCTTTCTGCCCTTGCTGGGGCCACCTTGTCAGCAGCAGCGGTGAGAGAGTATTGATATTAAATCCTGTGCACTTGCACAAGCCACAGAGGAGCTGCGTGGGCAGGGACCGTGTGTCCAGCTGCAGCTTGTCTTTGCAACTGCATCCTCTCCTATTTCCAGCTCCTGGCTTAGCAGGAAGTTTTACCCTTTGGAGTAAAAGATTCTAGATCAGGGGTGCCTGCTTCCCAGGCTCCAGAGGAGCAGCTGTCCTCACCCTGTCCGTGAGCCTGTAGCTGCAAACCCTGTACCTCCTCTTCACCTCCTGTGCCACGCTCCGACACCCTCAGCCACGCACCACTACGATGGAGAAGGGATCCAGTCCTGATTTATGCAAACTTGTGTCACTTGTGTTCGGCCAGAACATCACTCAAACGTCTCAGCTCTTGCTGTTGCGCTCTCTACAGCACAGATGAGCCACGTTTTCCAGGCTCGCTATTTACAAGCTGTCACTTCTCACTGTCTATCAAAGAGCTGCCTCCTGGCTCGAACGATGACAGCCTGCAAGACCTTCTTCTTCGATTTTCAGATAAACCAGCTTTCCCCAAATGCATGCCACGTGTTCCGTGCCGCGCCTACCCGCTTTTGGGACGCATTACGCACAGACCTCCTGTCCTGTGTGCAGGAATGTAAAGGGAAAAAAAAGAAAGTCACAACCTTTTTTTTACTTTCAAGTCAGTTTGTAGAAAATGAAGCCTGTAAACTCACAGATCAAACAGTTGCAAGCTAAGGGTTGATTCCTGTCACGGACCACATCAGAATTCAGAGCAGAACTTTGGGCGGCTAGATGTTAGTGTGGGAAATATTTCTGGCGTTCCTTTAGCAAAAGAAAACCAGTGCTGTGAGCGCTGAACCGGCTCCATCACGACTTTCTGCGATTGCTTGAAGCAGCATCTGGCGCGTGAGGGGAGGTGTGCTGCCTCTGCCCTCTGTTGGTTTTGAGTGGCAGATCTTGTGTGTGCACCAAGACCTGAACATGCACAGGCTCCTCGACTATTTTATTTAGAGATATCTGGGTGAAAAAAAAACCCTCAGGCCCGTGTAAATGTCGAGAGCTGAGTTAGGGCCTTGGTCCTGGTGATGCACTCATTTGGATGATTATGAGTCTGTCAGAAACCAGAGGAATGGTCTAGAGATGCAAAAATACCCTCCAGGCTTATATAAAAATCATATTAAAAAAAAATAAATCTTGGCAAGTCGTTTAGGGGCCAAGTAGGTGGCTGGTATAGCCTTGAAGAAGTGTGAAGTGCTGGCAGCAGCAGAGAGCGGGTCCATAGCCCAGTGTCGTCTGGTTTCACTCATTAGTGGTAAAGTGTCTAAATACCGACAAATTTGTGCTTTGGAGTGAGCAGAGGAGTGGCAGATGGTGTGTACAGCTATATGGAAATGAGTCCGAGCTTATTTTCTCTCGCAGGAATACACCAGTTCCCAGAGGGGGAGCTGGTCACACTCCCCGTGCTGTTATAGACATTTCCTGCCCCTTTCATCCCACGACCCAAATTCTGATTTAGCACTGACACAGCCGCTGCTCACTGGGTGCTGGTGCAGGTGCTTAAAAGCTCCATTTAGCCGTGTCGGCTGATGACATTAAGGAACTGCACCAGAGAGAGGTGAGGAGCAAATACATCTTCTACTGACTGACAAAGACTTTCAAAGGTGATCAGTAATTAACAGCTTAGAAAGAAATTTGCCTTGTTACCTTCAATCACAGTTTCAGCAGTGTGCCGTAGAGATGTCTGTATCTTCATCTCCTGGGTGCTGTTGCTGCATCTTAAATAATTTTTTTTTTCCTGACAACAAGCTGTGCACAGTTGTTACAATCTTGCTCAGTCACTTCAGCGCTGTACCTGAGTACTTGGCTGGGGCTGTCCTGTTTCAGCTCCTGCTCTGTCTGGCCACTGCAGAAGGGGCCTTTGCTTCTCCCGTCAGCATGAGCCGCATATAACAACACGTTTAAACCCAGTACAGGAGTGGGGGGAAGGAAGTTCTGTCTTTCTTTAAAATTTCAAGCCTCTGCTGGTGCAATCAGAACTGCTCTCCTTGTCCAACTCCAGGAGGCAGAAGCCAGAAGGAGCAAAGGCACTGACAGCTCACACTTAGGGTATTATCACCTCGGTTCTTCTTTTTCCAGTTCAGATGCTGCGGAGTCTCCAACTACACGGACTGGTTTGAAGTGTACAACACGACCCGGGTGCCGGACTCCTGCTGCTTGGAATTCAGTGAGAACTGTGGGCTCCACTCCCCAGGGACCTGGTGGAAAGCGGTGAGTAGCTCCGCAGCAGCAGCTGCCTCCAAACCCAGGTAAAGGGCAGGTGCGAGTCCTCCATCGAGGGCACCATGTTTTTTGCACAGGGCTGTCTCCTTTATTATTGACGCTTTATTTAAAGGTGACTTCACTTGGGCCAATTCCACCCTCCCCAAAACTGGGCCAGGAACATGAGGTTACAGCTACTGCAGCATTTAAAGCAGAAAAAAAATAATGGGGGATCTGCCCATCCTGCACTTTGAAATACTGGGAATGGGCCCACGTGCAGTGGGGGTGGCTACTGAGCAGCGCTCCCGGGAACTTTTGGCTACTTGTTCTCCTGAAACACAGAGAAAAGGAAAAGCTCAGTTTAAAGTTCTAACTGCTTCTAGTTGGGGTTTAGAGGGCAGAGAGCACCCAACTCCACTACTTGTTTATTTTTAGTTCCTGGCCCAAGTTTTAGGGAGCGGTGCTCTCGTGGCCGCTGGTGGGGATGGGTTGTTGTGTTGTTATCTTTAGTTCAGGCTTCAACCCAGAAATACAGAGCAGTGGCTCCAAAGCTGACATGAGAATCCAGGCTGCCTGGCACGGGCTCTTTTCTGTCCATACATTGCCAGGGAAGCAGAGCTGGCTGTTAACTGCTAATGCTATCGTCTGGTTTGGTTTCTTTTCAGCCTTGCTACGAAACAGTGAAAATATGGCTCCAGGAAAACTTACTAGCAGTGGGGATCTTTGGATTGTGCACAGCCATGGTGCAGGTACAGTTTAATACCAGTTTTCAGATCCTAATTAAACATGACTAAATAAGTAAGTATAGAGCCAGATACGCTCTGCCCAAGCCTGTTTCAATAATTCCAGATTTTGCATGCTGTTAGAGTAAAATTCTGAAAGATTTGTCACGTATGTTTTAATTTAATTAAAATACTCCATACACGGTACAGGACAAGGAGCACTGCACACGTTCTCTGTGATATGATTCACTGCAAAGAGCAGGCACTTAACCTGCTTAAGTGGTTTATCTCAGGGTTGGACTAGACTCAGGGGGGTCCAACGCCAGGAGCTACATCCCTACGTATCCCCCAGCATCGTTTGGATATAGTGCTGGGGGATATGGTTTAGGTGTGGACTCCGTAGAGTAGGGGTAATGGTTGGACTTGATGATCCCAAGGGTCTTTTCCAGCGTGAATAGTTCTATGATTCGATACCTGGAGCAAGGAGAATTGCTTTAGAGGGTACTGGTTTTGCCCAGGACCAACTGCTTAGTTAAATATATCTAACTTCAAGATCATTGTCTATGTAAGACTGTTAACACATTACTGTATTTTTAAAAAATTGCTTTTGAGTCGATGCATTTAGGGAGTCTTTAAAAAAATGCATTAAAAACCCAGCAGCGCATGTCAGAGTCCTTCTCATAGCCCTTGGTTCTGTTTAGGGTACTTAAGAGAATACAGTCTTACTGACAGAAAGAAATTACTAGTTTGCAGGGGAGAAAACACTTCAGAGAATTTTAAAATGCTAATTAATATTGCTAGTAAAGGCTGTGAAATAGAGAGAAGACCCCTCAGAACACAGAAGAGCTTTAGTTTTGTCTTCCAGCCGCACCGTGTGATTGCATGTGATTGCTGACAGAAGGTTTGATGCAGCAGCACCTGACAGCCATTGAGCTCCCTCTGTTGTTGCTGCTGCAACCAGTGCTTAAAATAGAACTCGTACACCAAATTTCTACCTGCAGGCCTGTATTTCAATGACAGATTTTACAGTGGAGTTGCGAAGTAACAGCAACAACCACTCAGTACATTCACAGAAGCACTTCAGCTGGCAGGAAAAGAAGAGTCTTCCCCATCCCCTTCTCTGATGAAGTCATCGACCAGCGGCAGCGCTGCTGGGCCGGGAGCAGAACCAGCCCCTCCCCGCTGCTCCTCTCGGAAAGCCACGTCCCTGGTTGATGAGGGATCGATGGTTCTGACTAATGCACGGGCAGGCTCCAGCAATCATCCCCCCGGGACCCGCGCACACATCTGCTTGCAAAAGCAAAGTGCAGTAAAGGAGCCCAGAGCGTCCCCGGGGTCGGGGCTGAACCCGATTGTCTTTCAAAGCTGTAGCTCCAGCCGTGGGTTGCTGCGCTAAAATATTTTTGAGCAAAAGGCAGCCAAAGATTTCTTTTCCATGTACCTCTTCCCAGTACCCGGTGGCTGCTTTTTGTGGAGAAATCACCTCTCCCGCGCTCTCATTGTTCAGTCCATAAAACAGCAGCACAGATAAGGACAAAAGGCAAACAAACTGGGAGCAGAGCAAGGCCATGAGCCGACCGAGAAAGCATCATGGATGTGACGTGTCTGCTGTGTGAGAACAAAACCAGTGCAAGGACGCTTTTCCATCTTTGCTGTTGTTGTTTCAATAAATAGGGTGTGGGATTTTGTATTTTTTCTTACTGAAAGATGATTGTGTTTTGTTCTTTTCTCACAGATTCTCGGACTCACCTTTGCAATGACCATGTATTGTCAGGTAGTCAAGGCAGACACCTACTGTGCGTAGATACCATTCCCGATCTTTCTGCTCCTCCTCCAAAGGACACAGGAGAAATCTCCTTCATGCTCATTCATCTGACTTTTTCTTTCCCCCCTTTGTACTATAAACTGTGTATAATGCTGTAATAATTTCTGAAGATATTGTGAATCCCCCTCACACACACACTTTACTGAAGGAGGAAGAATAGGAAAAAAAAAGGCCGTGCTTGACCTGGCACAGGTAAGGAGCAGCCTTGGCTTTCAACAGAAGACGACCTCCAAAGAGCGATGGTTCCTTTCCCACGGCAAGGCAGAGGGAGGCTGCTGCCGAGGGGCTGAGCTGCAACCCACCCGCTGGTAACAAGAGATTGCACTGAGGCAACCTCTGCGAAACCTGCCGGGTCGCCTTCCCACGTTTCCCGGTCTGGAAGAGAGGGAAATGTAGAAAAAGAGTGTTCTCCACGGCAGAAGGCACCGAGTAGCTAGTGCTGAATGCAGGTGTGATTTTACCACAGTTTGCGTGCAGCCCTGCCTCTGAGGGTCCCAAGATGATTTTGTAGCCGGGAGAGGATCATCTTCAGAAATACGTTCTTTTAAAGGAGCATTTTTAATCCTACGCGCTGCAAAGTCAGGCCTGTAATCAGAGTCTGTACAGTGAGGTCAGGCTGTTAAGGGAGAACATCATTGGACATTGTCTCACTCATTAATTGCCAGTGGCGTATAGATGGTTGACTGTCTATGTAATATATATTACATTCATATACACAGACTGTTCGGAAAGAGGTGACTGTACCCACGTCTGACCTCGGCAAGAGGCTCCTTTCTGTCCCATTTTACATTCCGACTGAAATAACCGAATATTAGTTCTTGTAGGAGGCACTATCACTTTTACCGCTGGGAAACAAGTAATTACTTTCAGCTGTATCTTCATTTCAGTAAACAACTTGTGAGTGGGCTCTCTCTGTCATTCTACTATGGGTTTATTTTTTTTGTCATCCCCGTTTCAAGTTAGGCTGCCAAAAAATATCACTCATTTCCACACTCGAGGACCCGTACAAAGCTGTCAGCTGTTCCTTCCCTGAATGTCACCATTTCATTAATTTACTACAGGATCTCATCAGCTGCAGGTATGATAGAGTTTGCCTTGCTGAGGAAATATCTTTTGCACATTGCTCATTTTTTTGAGAGTTATTAAGACTTCAGATGGTTTTATGCCTAGCTTTTCTTTTTTTTGCCTTTTTTCCCCCCTCTTTTTCAGCACCACGCTAACAATAGCGTAGACACACCAGTCTTTGCGGGAACTGGAGCCACCTCTCAGTTCTGTTTTTCAGACCCACCTCCCTCCACCCAACGCTTTCTGGAATTTGCAGAACTCACAATCCCTTAGCCAGAAAAGAGTCACCGATTGTCCAGTTCCCCCACCCTGCACTGGTAACTGAAGGAAGTGCTGCAGTGCCCCGTGCACACCTTTTGGGGAGGAGGTTAAGGATCAGATGGTTCCTGGTGTTTGGACAAACACCTCCCCAGCAGCCCCAGCCTATGCACGTGTGATGGGAGAAGCCACAGCACCCTGGGGACGGGACACGGCTGGGAACGGGCACCCGGGGTGCTGCCCTGGGGCTGCTCCCCACAGCCACCAGCACCTGCCGGGGTGCCACGGGCTCCCGGAGAGCTCAGTGCAGCTGTGACAGCCCAGACACCTGCATCAAGTTCAGGCAAAAAAAAAAAAGAAAAGAAAAGAAAAGAAAAATCACCCTGTACCTTTTAGTGCTTACAGCAGCAGCTCCAGCTGTGAGTGACATTTTGCTTGCTTTGATTTAAAGGCAATTAATTCCCAGCAGTAAAGCTGGACTTGCCAAGCCCCAGCCTAGTGAACAGCCCTCTGGACCCTCACCACTGACAAACACTACACTCACTGCTTAGGTTTTGATTCCTCCCCACACACACACCTTTGCCGATTTCCTAACTACTCCATGTTTTGTGGGCAAGTGCTTAGGACAGTCTGTTGTGCCAAAGAACAAGTATCCTCCAGCATCTCTTACCCCCCCACCTGGAGGCATCTGCAGCATCACAGGGTGTTGAAAGCAACGTTACCTGTGGCTTCCCCATCACTCACTCACAGCACCCTCACCCCCAGGGAAGGATTCACTGCCATGCTAACAAGTCCTGGCGAATGTTCACAGGCCTCGACTCTCGGTGTTACACTCACCCCAGTCGTGCTGCTCTCCCCGTCCAGAGGCCAGGCCGACCTGGGAGCAGTCCTGCTCTCTGGGAGATGAGGCAAGTTCAGTCCTTCCCTCCCTCTGCTCTGTTCCTTTCTTACCCCCAGAGACACAAGTCCGGGTTCGATGCACTGTGGGTTATAGTTTGGACACACAAGTGCTCCTGCTGACAGCTCCAAGTTGCCATCACTGAAAAGCAGCATAACAGAGTGATGAATACATTAATAAAACATGGATTTTTATTTTTTTTTAAAGAAAGATAAAAAGGCAGGTAAGTCTATTTGTAGTGATCCCTGCCATTAAAAATTCACAGGGAGCCAGCAGGCTGATGACAGCTCAGTGGGTAAGGGCAAACTGGTGTGCAGCAGAGCTCCTGCCGAGAAACACACGTCAACCTGCCCGAGCGTGCGGTAGTGGGGAGAGATCCCGGCCCCTCATCCTGCCTGTCTCCCAAGGACGGGTGCTGAGCTGCTGGGCTGCAGCTAAACCTACAGCAGAGACAACACGAGAAACAGAGGTCGAAGACAATCCCACTCTGCAGTTCCCTCTAATCATTTGCCACAGTTTAGGTGTCACTGCAACAAGATAAACTGCTTTTTTTTTTTAAAAAAACCCCACATATCTAGAGGGAGTGTGAGCAATATTCGCTTTGTAAATCCTCATCACTGCAACAGAAACATACAGCATGAACTGCTGAAGAGAAAGAAAAATAAAATCAAAACAGATGAAGAACATGCGTTGCCGCTGATAATTCTATTCTTAACCACTACCCTTACACTGCCAACTGAGATGCTACAGCAACTTGGTTTTAAGTTGAACTGGACTGTTTTCTGTATTTGATGTTATTAACTCTCTTCACCCAGGCCAAACAGATGTTCCCGTGCTTAAAGCATTACCAGCACAATCCGATTTCAAACCTCCAAACACGGGGCATATACCAAGCCTCAGACTTGCTGTATTTTCTTTTTAAACGGCTTGCATCCTCTCCTCTGCTGATGGGGTCAGAGAATTTTGTGATATGTAACAGCAATGATCTTTTTTAAAAAAAAAACACCAAAAAAACCACCTAAAAAACTCCACCCAAACTAGTTCCATATGATGCATAAAGTGTCGTGTTTAACTGGTTGATTACAAATAAGTGCCCTGCAGGCCGTTACACCAATTTAAAAGGCTGCTCATGGCGTGTGTCTGCAGAGCAACACCGGCTTCATCCCCAGTGCTCCCATTTGTGACATTTTGTCACTTTCAGTGAAGTCTTTTCTGTTCTTTTCACTTCTTACCTTTAAACATGAAGGAGGACTTGATGCATTTAAATTAAAGAAAGAACCAAAGGCAACAAAGGCATGGAAGGAGAGCGCTCTGAATTTGTTCTCCTTGCTGCTTCTGCCTCTCACAGCAGGGCACAAGCAACATCAGGATTGAGCTTTTAAATTCAGCCCAACATACTTCTGCCTTTTCATCTTCACAACTATATATATATATATATATATTTA